GGCATGCGATACGTACTTGAGCTCGGCGGTTTTCGCGAGCTGGACGAGGTTCTTGGTCCAGTCGCCGCTGGCGAGGAGAGGCTGGGAGGAGGAGGTCGCAGAGGAGGACGCTGCAGCCGCGCCGGTCGCCATCGCACGCGGGTCGGTGAGATTTGCTGGGAGAGCGGACGAGGGTTTCTGGGGTGACTGCACGCAGGGGCCCTCCGGTCACCGTGCCCCCGCAATTTCTCCCTCCATCGTGATTGGCCCGGGAAGAACCGGATTGCCCTTTTGGGCAGGTCAGTCCTCGTTGGCCTTGTTCGACGTTACTTTCAACGTTCCGCTCAATATGTCGGTCTGTCTCAACCATGTACTCGCGCAATGTCTGCGTTGACTTCTTGGCATGCAACTGCACATCTCACTGGCTTTTCTTCCTGTGGAACCCGACCTTGGCTGTATTGCTGCATGTCGAATCTTATCCCGAGGATCCGAGTCTCCACTCGCGCCGAGTATCAGTAGCCCGCTCTCCGAGGGCCCGGGATGCCGAGCAGTCAGATCTTCTCGTGTGGGTGAAAGGGGACGTTTAACAACATTGACGAACAGTACGAGGGAAGTCATGTTAGGTATGTAACAGATATTCTTGGTGCTACGTTCGGAACGAGACTACGCTCATGCTTGTCATTGAAGGAGGATAGACAGAAATGCGACATTGATCGAAATGAGACTTGAGCCCTTCTGCGCAGAGCGATCGAAGCGAGTTCTCGAAATTAACGTGCCTCGATGGCCCGTGGCTGCCACGTTACTAAATGGCACGCCGCGCCCTCATCTCGGTAAGCACGTCCACTAGCAAATCCTCCTCGTGAGTAAGATCCCGCGGGCGTGGCTCATTGTTGACAAGCTGCAGCATCGTCTTCTTATCCACGACGTACACGCGCTGGTCGTCGAGGCCTGCCGCCTTGAGGTTGTCTCTCACCGTCTGTTCGGTGTCATGGACATATTCTGCGCATGCCGTCCTCCAGAGCCGCTTTCTCTCGTCGCCCCTGCCATTGCCTCTACCGTTTCCCACCTTGTCGTCCATGCGGTTGCCGATGTGCTGCAGCGCCTTCGAGCGGACGATGTATGCGGGGACGTTCGTCAACTTGCAGCACTTCAAGATAGCGACGTCCGTCTCGGTGAAACGGCTATCGATGAGGAGGACGATGCAGTTGAACATGTACAGACCCTGCCTCCGGAAGTACTGCGCCGCAGGTTGGTTCAGCGTCCCCGCGCCGGGGATGTCATACCACACGAACGGGTACCACCCGAGCGGGTTATCCGGCAGGTTGGGGTGGTCATACCGCGCGAAGACTCTCGTCGTCTCAGACGTTCCCACTGGCGCTGCGCCGGGGTCGTTGTTGTTCAAGCCGCGGATCGCGTTGATCAGGGAAGACTTGCCGCTGCCCGCCGGGCCAGCGATGGCGATGTGGATAAAGCCTTCCTTATATCCTAGGCGACGCCTCGTCTCCGCGATTTCGCGTGTATTGCGGAAGGTCATGAACAGACTGTTATCGTCCCGCTCAGTGCGCTCTCTTCTGAGCTGCTCCTCGAGCTGCCGAAGGCGCTCTTCCGCATCTCGCATGGCTGGGTTCCTGCGCAGGGCGTCCGCGTTCGCCGTGCCTGCGATGCCAAAGGTAGCTGCTGTGGCCGCGATGCCCATCATGGCGATTGCGCCTTCTGCGATGAGAGACGCGTGGGATATGCGCGGCGGGAGTGTCGGCAACGATACTCAAGTAACAGGAGATGCCTTACGGCCAGTCAACAGCAATGATACGAGAGACGGCGGGGGAGGGGGAGGGGCCGCCCAGGGAGGCAAACTTGCAGCCGCACCCATGATGCGGTTTGCACAGACTACGAAGTGGACTGGAGTATGCGACTTTGTAAGGATGGCCCGCCGGACGCTGGGAGTTGGCGTTGTCCGCGACAGAGGGGTGCACAGTGGGGAGAAGTATCAGAGTCCCGCGTATTATATCGTCTGGATTGTGGGTCTGGGTTGTGGGATAGAAGCAGTTCATGCAGTAAGGTTTATTCTCCACGTTCGACTCAAGCTGATCATTGCCTCCTTGCTCCTCACAGGCGGTTCAGAACTCACAAGGAACGGTCACGTGGTTTAGAGGTACTATTTCTGGGACGCGTTCATTCTTCTCCTGACGCGACTCGTCAGCTCTCCGGGTGATCAGGATCAATCCAGACCATTATAACCCGTTACAAGTTAGAAAAGGATTGTCATCAAATCCCGGCGAGCCCCGAGTCAGTCCAATGATCTCGACGATATACGGCGGCCGAGCAGAAGCGCAGGTCAGTAACAGTCTTGGCAGCGCACCCGGTCGTGGAGGGAGAGGATCTCTAGCACACATGTGCACCCCCATCGCGTCGTCCATCTAGGCATTGCGGCGGATGAAAACGTTATCTCAGCTGCAGTGCTCAAGCTCAAGTGACTAGTATATAGGGGCACTCCACACATGTCAGGAGTGGCATTCACGGTCCAGCCCTCCAAGCTTGATACGCCCATTTCATAGTTTAGCAATAGCAGCCCTCAAGCACCTCGACGTCGGGGAAGGACTCGGACAGTCGCAATGCTCTTCGGCCATGATTACTGTGGCATCCCCTCGGTGTCGCTTCCGCGCTGCCGGTCTCGTTCGCCTCCATGCAGGCATCTTCTAGCTGTGCCCGAGGCAGGCCAGCACTTCCCCGTGTATGCACACGGTGTTTCGAGATGATGTATTGTTTGCCAAGAAGCTGCTTGGGCCCTACACTTGAAGTGAGTACCGGTTGTCCGCCCTGTCGCTATCGAAGCCAACGCTCATCCGCTGACAGGACGTTTCGTGATCTGAACGATGAGAGGAAGAGATTGCGGGCTTTCGATGCTGCTCCAGCCTTCGTCGCTCACCAGGCATCTCTAGGCCTCCCGCCGACTCTGGAGGCCGCCTCTTCGAAGGCTTCATCGAGATCCACGCGTGCACCGTGCACTTGGCCCTCGGCACTGCGCTGCGTCACCAGCGCAGAGAGTATTAGTAGGTCCAATGAGTCGAATGGACTGTACTATCGGTCGTATCACTGCAGGGCATGTTCGTCTACTAGTAAGTATACACTGATCGTCATAGCGAGCCTCAAACCTACAACCTTGATGGTGGTACAACACAAGCAACAGGCCCTTCAGCGTCACGTGCTATCGTACACGAATAACGCAGTATTCTGAACTTCAGGTAGCTACGTATGAATCATGCGACGTCTGTGAGATGACTATTTGTTGATACGCCTGTCCACCATCTCCTTGACCGCGTCGAGCAGCAACTCCCTCTCGTGAATCATGTGCTCCGGGTTCTGCACTCCCAACGCTACCTGAAGCGTTGACGCCTTGTCCACGATGTACACGCGCTGGTCATCAAGTCCCGCCGCCTTGAGGTTGTTCTTCACGGTCTGTTCCGTGTCCTCGATGTACTGGGCGCGTGCTTTCGTCCAGCGCGCTCCGTTCTCCTCATCATCGTCATCGTCCGCTGAAGTCGCCGTGTCATCCATGATGTTCTTGATGTGCTGAAGCGCCTTCGAGCGAACGATGTATGTGGGGATATTCATCTCGTGGCAGCAACGGAGAATCGCGATGTCCATCGCAGTGAAGCGAGTGTCGAAGAGGACGAATACACAATCAAAGATGTACAGCCCTTGCTGCCGGAAGTATTCGACCTCGTGCTGGCTGAGCGTCCCCGCGCCGGGGATGTCGTACCACACGAACGGGTTCTTCGCCACGTCCGGATGCTCGTACCGTTGAACCTCCATCGTCGTCTCGGACGTCCCCACCTGCGCTGCGGCGGGGTCGCTGTTGCGTAGACCACGGATCGCGTTGATCAGCGAGGACTTGCCGCTGCCCGCCGAGCCAGCAACGGCGAAGTGGATGAGATACTCCGAGTAGCGAAGGCGGCGCTTCGTCGCCTCGAACTCGCGCATGCTGATCAGCCCGGCGAGCATGTCCGCCGTACGCCGCTCCTGGCGCTCCTGGACTAGCTGCTGCTCGAGCTGCCCGACGCGTTCCTCCATTGCCTTCATTGTAGGGTTCTGGCGCATTGGGCTCCTCTCGTCGGTCACAGCTGCAGCGCCGAACATGGACGCAAACAATGCGATACCGGCCATGACTGCTGTACCTACTGTGGTAGCCAACATGCTGTTTAGTCAGATCAAAATGCAACAAACCAGCTAGAACAGGGAAATATTGTCTGACCGGGAGTAGAGAGTGTCTCCATAATGCCAGGCGGAGGAGGTGGAATAGGTATACTGGGGGCACCACCCATATTCGTATGTATGGATTGACCGACGTCGACGCGATGTACGATGGATGGGTTGCGGCAAGAAAGCACACCGCCATGGCTACCATTAATCCAGCCATAATTGACATTCGTGGGCACAGAAGCAGTTAAGGTTACGTTCAACCAGTGTCCACAAATTTAAACTTGAACGAGAAGAGGAACGGTCACGTGATACGTATCTACTTCCTAAGTTTCGGAGTTCCTGAGGTCGGACTCGTGTTGTCCTCCTACACGCTTCACCGTCCGGTACTATGGATGCAAGTTTACACAGCCCAGTCACTATAGGCGGCGGGACTGCCATGCTCATCTGCACCCGACGACTCCATTGCAAGACGCGGGAGTTCGAGTCTGGCTCAACTGGACCGTGACTCAGCCAGTGACGTTGCTTCAATGGATGTTCGGAAAAAGCGGTGAGCATGTTCACATGCACCTCTGTAACTTCATATTTGATGGAATCTATACTTTTCAGTGACATGATGTGACGAGGGACTCAGCCAATACTTACAGGCGGTCGCATTTTAGGGGTGCTGGAATAATGCCAGATAACAGTGGTGTCTTCGGTCCAGTCCTTCGATCGTGCTAGACCATTCTCGGGTGGTCAAGGCCGTCACACATTGACTTGTCAGGACTTTCAAATACTCGACGATTGAGCGGGGAACATCACTGCGTTTCTGCACGACGACCATGACCCCACCGGGCCCGTTCTCGAGCGTGTGCACCCGCCGCCACTTTCGCCCTGCGGCCGCCGGTCCCATTCGGACAAGTCTTCGCCATGCAGCTACTGCCTCCTCATCCCTGACCTAGACGAACATTTCCCGGTATGCAAACAGTGCCAACTTGTTGCGTACTGCAGTAGGGCCTGCCAGGAGGCCGCGTGGCCGGATCACAAGTGAGTACTACGACGCTAACAAGTTGGAGGATCGTTATCTGACACTGAGGCTGACACACACGTGTCAGGTCGAAGTGCAGAGAGGAATGCCGCGATAGAGAGGCGAGGCGGGCGCTCGACGCACAGCCTGATGTCGCCGCCCAACAAGCAGCCCAGGGCGTACCACCCGTAGAAGTCCGCACCCAGCTGCTCCGTGACTTCACGGAGCTGCACAAATATACCGCGTACTGGGCGCTGTGCGCTGCGCTTGACGAAAACGAGGAGGATCCCACAAATGAAACCATTCGTAATCTTCTCATCGTCGAGATTGCGTACCGAAAGGACTGTGACGACGACCCCAGCCGCGCATACTACGTCACGAATGCAAGGCTCTGCTACATCGACAAGCTCCATATTTGGACTCCCGATGAGGATTTGGGTTTCATACCAGGTAGTGACATCACGGTCATCGAGTTCCCCACTGTTCTTTGGCATACCGACGATGGCATGTCTTCGTCGATGATCGCAAACGAATCCGAGGCACCCCACCTTCCGTCCATGCTACACAACATGGACGGCAGTCGTTGGTTCGACTACCTACTACGCATAATCAACTCTGGTCTGGTGTTCAGAACGCCTGAACACGGACCTAGGCACGAAATGTCTCTGGGCCGTCTGGAGAAGTCGGGCTCCGGATGGCGTTGGCGTTCGTTGAAGTCCGTTGCCAAGGCTAGTCGGAAGGATCGAGTGTAGATTGATTCGGCGAGTCTTTCTGCTTCAACGGCCCGCTTTCTCGCCGATTGACGTTCATCCAGCACTACGACCTTTCAGTCCTTCATCTTGGCCATGTATTCTTTTTCTGGCGGCATCACATTTCTTTCCGTCCTCGTCCTCGTTTCTCTATCTCTCAACTTGTATCATACGTGGCGTATGCACCTGCGCCTAGGCAGTCCGACTGAATGTATCAATCCGAGTATGAAGCGTGTTTGTACTGTATAATGAGCTTCTCTGATTGTATCCATTCCCGCGCCGATGATGTCAATGTATTCTGTTTCTGAACCACATCTAGGACGTAACTTGGCTGACGGCGAAGGTATTGTGCGTTTCCTGGCAGCTGTGTAGTCAGCGTCAGCGTAACCAGCAACCTCAATCGAAGGTGTAATCAACCATGCTTCGGAGGTATATGGCAGCCATGCAGGTAGCAGATGCCCATTCACAAAGCATTGATATACAATTCACGGCCCTAGCAGAACAATGAGCTGCCTCTTGACGCGCTGGCTACTACTCCCTGTAACCCAAACCTCAGTACTGAATATTCGTATAAGTGACTATGAACGATGTTAGCCCGCGCTGTCCTTGATATCGACCCAAAAACGCACAGTGACAATCGGACGGGAATGGCCCAGTGTCGATGTATCCAAACGTGACCGTATGCGTCTTGCCGTCGCCTTCGACCAGCGTCCTCGTGGTGGTCTCCTCCGGGAAGCTGAAGGACGTCACCGTGAAGGTCGTCGTCTCGAAGGGCCCCGTCGTCGTGGGAGCGATGACCGACAACGTCTGGGTGACTACCTCTGTGGAGACGATTGGGCAAGAAGGATCGACAGTCGTCGTGGCCTGTAGTATGTCCAGGTTAGTTTGTGTGGATCCAGTGCAAACAATACATCATTGCGACGTACGCGAGGATTGACAAGGTTCGGCACAGCTGTGGCAGCTAGAACGGCAAAGCCTGCCAACGCAGACAGCTTGAACGCGAACATCTTGAGCGACGGAGCACACCACGAGCCAACGATGCCCTTGTGTGCGCAGTATATGGCACGGTGTATCTGCTCTTATAAGATCTCAACGATCTACGATGCGGTTCAACTCTCTCGTGGTCATCGGGAGCATGAAGGTCAATGAATTGTCTCGGATCAAACTTCGACCACACACACGCGGTTTGCCGTGCGGTCAAGCGCGACTGCGGCCCTCCATTGAGCTGAGAAGTACACTTCGAGGAGTTGAATCCCACAGGACGGTCGTAAGCAGTTTGAAAATCCCATGGTGGGGCAGCGGGTGGCATCAATCCCCGTGCTAAACCGCTGGCGATCCCACCAATGCAGTCTGATTCACCTGCTTCCAGAAGCGCAGACCTGGTGGTGGATGTAAATGTCATGATCAGGTAGCGATGCCTGCCCACGCACCCCGCACGCGTCCGCATCTTCGCATCGCCCCGAGAGTGAGCATTGCTGGTTACTTCCACTGCGTCAGCGGAACCACTGACCGTAGCACCACCGATGGGACTGGTATTTCAACGTCGCACCCCGCTCTCCGGATGTAGCTTCAAGGACGCATATTGCGCTGAGATATCCGACCTGTTTCCGCCATCTTTGGCCGGTCAATATCCACGGTCAACAGAAAGTAAGTGATCCATTGTCAATAACAATACATTGGTCAGATGTGAAACCCTAGATGAACTGCGCTACTGAGCGTGATAGTTTTCTGAACAGTAGTAGACGTACCGTAATCCATTCAACTTCGCGACCACTCTCATCCGCCATCAAACATCATCTCCGGCCTTTGTAGCGCATGTTCCGAAGCATGAACCCTCCATCGAGCCAGATTATCCCTAACTCGTTTACGCCGGTGATCGCAAGAAGCACAGGGTGATGACCGTGTTGGCTAGGTCTGAACAAAGACTGTCATCAGCGTTATCTAGCGGTCCAATGGAGACTGCATCTCACAGAAAACCAGTCCCGCTTGTCGTGCCAGTCCCGCGATACTTCCTGCACACCGCGGACCGGTCGGCGCCCAGGATCTGTGCGCAAACCAGGTCCTCCTCCGTCGTGAGCTGGCAAGGCTCAGAGATCGTGACCTCCCAGCTTGGCACTCCACGCGGTACGTTTTCGTCTCCGGTGATCTTGAGGCCAGTGAGGGTCTGCGAACCCTCGTCCCACTCAACAAAGAGGCATTCCGTCCCATGTGGGCCGTACCAACCCAGCCAGAGTCCCACAAGCGACGCAGGACTCCAGTCATCGGAGCAGCCGTCGACACCTTGTCGAATTTCGCTGCGGAGCGGGTAATATCGTGGAATTACAGAGTTGTCGACACGCATCGACAGCGTCGGGAACTCCAGCTCTACGCAGTCGAGTTCGCATGAAAGCGTAATCGATCTGGGCTTTGTGACGTCCGTGGTTTCGAGGTGGATGGACATGACGAACTGCCATGCCACGAGTCCGAAGAACGGGTTTATTCGGGCGCCAACAGGCCGGCGGATTGATGTGGATGTGGTCACGGTAGGGAGGGGTATCGAGGGGCGGCGCGTGTCCAGCCAGGAAGCCTCGGTAGACTGAGGGAAGTCGGGGTGCTGGAGCGAGGCCATGAAGTTGTCTCCCCCCAGGTAAATACTGTTCGTACTCTGCTCCACATGATGGACGTGAGCACGGTGCGTGTTCATTTGATTACCATTCGCTGGTGCACAGCAAGTAATCTGCGCGACGTCGTTTGTAGGTTCGTCGTCGTCGCTGAACGTCGCTGCGAAGCCTATCCTGATGGCGGGTATGTAGCGCGGTAATTCCGGAGGTTGGTCGATATTCATGTGGAACATCTGAGGCTTCCGGAACCTCCAGAACTCGCCAATGATACATGCTTGGCGATGTGCGTTGCCCTCGTCAAGACGGAACTCTACGATGTGGCCCGAGAACGCGTGCTCCCCGGCCCATAGGCCGAGCAGAGGTCCATATTTGTGGAGTAACCTAGTGTAGACGGTGTAGAACGACCGTCCCCCATAATTCGTGACGTCTGTCACGCCGTACGTGCGCGACAGAGCTCTCCATATCGGCTCCTCCTGGAGGTACGAGCGGAGCGTACGTGATGTGCTCAGAAGACGGACAATGTCGGTGGCAGGCAGTAAGGTTAATATCTCGGTTAGGACGTCGTATGGTGCATGCTCGATAACGGACGTGCGGATGGCAGGCCGAGCATAAGCTACATCTGTGGAGGTTGACATGTCCCAGACTGAACGATAATTGTGAGTTATTGCGCATAGGGAAATTGGTGCTCCTGACCTATACATATAACCCAAGGTGAATGCGGCAGTTGCAGGCGAAGAGAGGATTACACACCGTATCCAAATGCGGAAGCGCGACGATCGAGTTCTACGGAACGCCGGAGCATGTGATTTGCACCGTTGGCAGATGTCCCAGTATGGTATGTGTCTCGATCAGTCTCATGCCGCCTACAAACTCAAGTACTACAGTTGTGAACCTTCAGTAATCCTGTGTGCACACGATTCCTGCGGCAATCAATACATCTATTTGGACCAAGCTACAGTTCTCCATTTCGAGTCGATGAGGAGGGCTGGGGAGGGGAGGTCCATCGCACCGACCAGTTCTGCCACTGAATAAACATGAAGACAGGCGATCCGCGAGTGAGTACACTCCTGTATCTACCTTTATTGTAGCGACCTTTACACAGAATTACTGTACTATCCAGATACGAACGTCTACATCTGCCATCGAGAGCCTACGGGGGCTTGAAGCACTCTCTGGTCATGTCCCGGCAGTGAGTCTCAGGTAGCGCGCTCCTGACGCCCAAGAGAGTAGTGCGCAAGAGTCAGTGACAACGTCGCAGAGAGTCGTAGAATGGATCGTTAGCAGGAGGCTCTACAACGTCGGTAATGATAACGGTGCTATTGCGGTGTACGTGACTATACTAGTAGACTTTGAAGTTGCTGCGCGGACTGAAGATGATTGCATCCCAGGACGGCAGGCACCATTGCCCCCATGACCTGTGAATGGATACGTCAAGCCTTACAACAGGAGTGGACAGGTCGGAACATCCTGTTTCTCCGACATCAGCATACACTGAGGCGTCAAATTGTAACTTCATCCAGTGAAAATACTCGTGTATCTCGCGCATGGCGCCGATCTATGGCCGCTGAGGTCGAGGGTCGATTACAACGCAAATGCTTGCCATACGAAGGCCCGAATATCTGGACGCGAGGATACAGGGTAGGTCGACATGACGCTGCTCCCGCAACTTGGAACGGCCTCTGTCACTAAAAAATTACCTATCACAGACGAGTCAACTTTTGATCTGTCTACGAAGGCTGCTCAGTGAGCTGCTAGGCTATACTCGTGGCGCAGGCTCCTCTGGTAAGCCGCTAGGGCGGGGTCTATTTGCTGACGATGATTCCGTATCCTGAGTTCTAAGCTTCCTACAGAAGTCGGTCTTATGCGGTATGTCGGACTTGTAGTAGCGGGCCAGGCCTGACAGAAGATGTGCCTGCCGCTCTCAACGGTACTTGACTAAGGACATCACCAAGACCGCCACTGCTGACAGGAGAGCGACTGCCTCCACGGAAGTCAAGTTGCTTCACAGTTGAACAGGACAACTTCTCGTTCCTGGATTATCGTGGGTAGCAGCTTCGCCCACTCCCATTTTGGCCCCTGGACTTGCACATGCTACCATCGCACTTCCACTACTCAGGCGTACCTCTCACAGGTTCGACAGATGTGGTTGACGGCGTAGGTACTCACGATGTCATGGGGCATGTATCCCCGGAGTGATGGCAGAGTCGCGGCATACGCACGAATCATGGTTGTAGAAGGCCCCCGGACCCACTGCGGCTTGGACGAGTGGGATCAGTAGGCCCATCTGGTCTATAAAAGATGGATACTTCGCTGTTGCGTGCGTGACTCCAGGCACTACCCTCACTCATCCGTTCTTCAGAGCTCACCATGTTTTTCATTAAAGCTGTCGTCGCCCTTACCGTCGTCGTGCCTGCGCTGGCAATGAGCGTCCCTCGTGCCGCTGACTCGACCACCTGGCCTTCCGGAACCCAGACAGGAGATGGTGAAATCTGATTTGGCGATGTGATGAGCTCATTGACATCGCTTGACTAGGTACGTTCTACGGCATCGGCTTGGGTGCCTGCGGTATCGACAATACCAACGCCGACTACGTCGTGGCGGTCTCCGCGCTGGTTTTTAACGCAGAGCCGTACGTCCTTCCGTAACCGTTTCCTGGCGTTGAGCATGTTTGCTCAGTCGAGATACCGTGCCCACAGTGGCTACACCGGCAGCGACCCAAACACCAATCCACTCTGCAACCAGCAAATCACCGCTTACTGTAAGCATTTCTTTTCCACGAGAGAGTACACCGCGTAATTCGGATCCAGATCAAGGCAACAGTGTCACCGTCACCATCGTTGACTCTTGCTCGGGCTGCGGATCCTGGGATCTGAATTTTAGCCCGACGGCGTTCGAGCAGCTGGCACCTTTGTCCGTGGGTCGAATTCATGGTATGACCTGGGTAATATTGGGGTAAACCTCCAACGCACAACAAACGCGTCGTGGCGCGAAGGGCTGTTGCGCAGCGCAATGTAGAATAGAAGACAAGTACTGTACATCGGCACGCACTCTCAGTGAACGCTCTGGTTGAGCACGCAAACTGGCGATGTACCCTGCCTTATGTACGACCGATCACGACTTGGATACGATACTGGCAACGTTTTGTGGGGTTGTTCAGGGAGAGCAAGGAGCTGTGCATGTTAGCCGGCGCCGATACTAATTACTTACCTGGGATTGTGGGATTGTTTCCCAGCTGTTATATATACGACTTCTACGTTTTGATAGCAAGCATCAGTAGAGCGCTGTGACTGAGGATAAGTAGAGTGGGGCACGGAAGCGCGATATGATGGGAGAGGCGAAGTGACGTCGGGCGGGTGACGTCACCGACGCGATGGCGTCCAACGCCCGCCCGCAGACGCGCCCCGTTATAAGCTACGGTCCATTCAACCATCCCTACCATTTCCCACCACCCATATCCAGAACGAGTCCCGTGTAACGACATACGACCATGTTCCGCTTCGCTTCCCCCACCCTCCGCCGCACGGCCCCCGTCCTCAACCGGCCGCTGTCCACCACCACCCACGCTCCTTCCCTTTCCACCCTCAAGTTCAACCGAACTCAACCGACACCCGTCTTCCCGAGACCGCTCGCGTGCTGCCCGCCTTCGACGCTGCTTCGCGGTCAGCTACTCGTGAGAGGCGCGGCGAGCCAAGTCTCCGGACGCCCCGGCTCGCAAACCGCGGCGCAGGCCGCGCAGAACATCAAGGAGGAGGTCGGCAGCGCAGGCGGCGACTTCGCTAAGGCAATCGCAGGAGGAAACGTCTTCTCAGATGCTGTGGCGCCGACGCAGCGGACATTCGTGAGTGACATTCTGGCCGACACGCTCTGTGCGCGCGAAACGCCGCGGCAAGGTCCTGACAACCTAAACAGCTCGGGATCACCAACGCCGTCGCGTATGCCGTTCCTACCCCCTACATCGTGTTCGGCCTCGCTGGCGGGCTGCCGTATCTTGGTACAGCAGTCGCGAGCATCTACCTGGCCCGCGAGGCCGGTATTGCCACGACCGGTGAGTCTCGCTGTCGGGTTTGTCTGGCGTGGAGCGCGGCTGAACCAGGGAATCAGGCCTCATGACGAACATCGATCCTGGCGTCGCGATCACCGTGCTCGACCAGGCCCTCAACATCCAGATGACCTACGGTGCCGTCCTGCTGTCCTTCCTTGGTGCCCTACACTGGGGCTTCGAGTTCGCCGGCTACGGCGGTACGAAGGGGTGCGTGCTCCGTCCCGAAACTGTTATGGATGCGGTGAAGCTGACCCCTGCGTGCATCCATAGATATCCTCGCCTCGTCCTCGGAATGACGCCGGTCGTCTTCGGCTGGTCGACGTTAATGATGGATCCCGTACAGGCTCTCATTGCGCAGTGGGTCGGCTTCACCGCTTTATGGTGGGCTGACCTGCGTGCTACCAACGCGGGCTGGGCGCCGGCATGGTACTCGCAGTACCGCTTCTACCTGTCGATCCTCGTCGGCACCTGCATCATCGGTACCCTCGCCGCAACCAGCTACTGGGGCCCCGTGGGTGGACATGGGCTGATCAGCCACGACCTCAACATGGTGCGCACCTCTGTATGATTTGCATCCCTCAAACAGTGGCTAATTGTAGGATCTGTCAGATCCGTGCTGAGCGTAAGCAGAAGCAGCCCGAGCGTGAGGGCCATGTTGGTGGAGACATTGAGGCGCTGCCAGCCCCTGAGAGTGCCGACTCGTACGTGATTATCAAGAAGAAAAGCAGCGACCAGAACGGTGACAGTGGTGCGTCCGAGTCTGGGTCTGAGCAGGGAGGAGAGGAGAGTAGTGAATGAATACCGCTGAGTTGAGTCGGTGAAGCTGACGGACATTACCACGCTGTAATATTATCACTTGTGAATCGTTGTATAACAGACCAGTTCACGAGCTTCGCAAAGTGTAGACCAGTAGTATAGAAATCGGAATGTGACCAGTAGTCTTAAATCAGAGGTGTAGTAAGCAAGGTTGGAGGAGGAGCAAGGTGGCGGTCGGATGAGTGTTGTTTAGACGCCGATGAGCGTCTGCACGGAGGCGGGATGGTCTGGAAGGTTCGGGAGAGCAAACACGGCCAGCATAAATTAGGATCCATGAAGTGCTCGTTGCCTCCGATCTCATCTGTCTCGAGCATTTAGACTTTCTTACAAGACTCCTCCTGTTCATCGCCCTCGGCACTCGTTGCAGTACGCAGAGATGGCGGCGATTCCCCCACCGATGCCGACGAGCACGGCGAACTGGCACTGGAAGAACAAGACGGTGACGCCCTGGGCGCGGGCGTGGTTCGAGCGCGAGCTCGCCACCGTCGAGGTCAGCGGGGAGGGCGAGGAGAAGGTCGGCGTGCAGAAGTTGACCGACTTTGAGGGGGACGTGGAGCTTGGCCAGCGGAAGAGCAAGTGAGTGCGCGATCCATGCGCGACCTGCTTGCGTCTGTTCACCTGGCGATCTCATGAAATGTCGTACTGACGGCGGGCTTCGCGTGCGTGCAGGCTGATCACGATCTACGACTGCAAGGTCGAGCTGGAGTGGGCAGGGACCGCGTCGGATGGGTCTGAAGTGACGGGCAAGCTCACCGTCCCGGAGGTCTCGCACGAGATCACGCTCGATGGCCTCTCAGACTACGTCGTACGTCCGGTTCGCCTCCCCTATCCGTGCGTCCAACGCTGAAACCCGTCGCCCAGTACCAATGGACGCGGACGTCGCCGGCCTCGCCCGCGGCGGACGCGCTCCTCGCGCTCGCGAGGAGGAGCCTCCCCGCCGCGCTCGAGAAGAAGTTCGCAGAGTTCCCAGCGGCGCTCGTCGACACCCACGGGAAGGACCTGCAGGTGTCCTCCAGCGCGGAGCCCTCGCGCCAGGACACGCCCGCGCCATCCGCGCCGTCCGCCAAGCCCTCCACGTCCGCGCCCGCCCCGGCGCCGGCGAAGAAGGCGCCGCGCGTGAACACGTCGTCGGTGAACGCGGAGGCGAACTTCATGGCGGCCGCGGACGACCTGTTCGACCTGTTCACGAACGAGAAGCGCATACCGATGTGGACCCGCGCCCCCGCGGTGTCCGCCGCGAAGCCGGACACGGAGTACAGCCTGTTCGGCGGCGGCGTGAAGGGCAAGTACGTGAGCCTGACGCCGCCGAAGGAGATAGTGCAGAGCTGGGCGCTGAGCAGCCCCACTTGGCCGGATGGTGCGTGTTGCTGTTGTGGGCTGTGGATGCTGGAATCGCACGTCTGACTCTTTCTCGGGGATGGTCAGACCACGTCGCGACCTTGACCACGACGCTCGACCAGGGTTCTGACTCTACGAAGGTCTCCTGGCGACTGGAGGGCGTCCCTCTCGGCATGGAAGAGGAGACGCAGAGGAATCTGCAGGGATACTAGTGCGTCCGCGTACTTCGCATTGCAACAGTTGATGATGGCTAACTTTGTCCTAGCGTCCATGGACTGAAAGCTATCGGGTATGTACCCCTCTTCGAGTATCGCCCCGTCCAAGCCTCGCCGCCATCCTCGCCTCGCCGTACCCCAAAGACCCGCGGCAGCGCGGGTCCAGCCCAACAAGCGGGCTATGTGCGATCTTTGGCGATGGCTTTCGCGCTCCTCGCGCTCATCATGGCGTTCTCGATACCCTACCTGTATAACTAACTTACGTCTAACGTGTAATTGACGGACTCTCCCTGGGTTTCTTGTACAGGTTGGGCACGGAGCTGTGAACGCATGCGTACCAAGGTCGGTCGAGCCTCGAAACAAGGTGCGGCGAACATGGAGCACAATACACGGATCATGCTTTGATGTCTGGCTTGTAGACGCGGACATGGGGTCATCCGTGCTTCGGGGGTGGTGGGATACTGCGGTGTGCCGATCACGAAAGGGTAGAGACAGAAGGAACGCAAGGTGTATGCGTCGGCAGAATACTAATACAACATTTGTACATTGCTGCATGTCTTTTTCTTGTCCCTTTTGACGACAACCCAACAAGAAAAGAGGCACAGAAGACCAACGAGAGGACAGCAAATATACGACAGAGATGACCTATAGACTCAACAGAAAACGAAAAGCACAACATGGACAACCAGGCTTCTACAGCGGATGGGGGTTGTTCCAGAGGCGCTCGATCTGTGACGAAGAGGTTCACCAGCCGCAGTCGAAGAGTTAAGGTCGAGACGTACGAATGCAATGAGGAATTTTGAGGCAATGTCTCCATCTGCAGTCCTCTCGAAACATGCAGGCCCCTCTGGCTGCTGCACGTCGTCGGGCGTCCACCTCAGCAGCTGTACTACGCATGTGGGGCGACGGGACGGACTCACGTTGCGGACCTCGTGCATAAAGTCCCAGATGTCCTGGGCGTCCTTACACTCCGTGAAATGCGCAAAGAGGTCGTCCTCCAACCACATCTGCGCCTGCTTGCGGACGAAGCTCATCGCCACCGACTGCGTCACCGTCAAGTGTCTCGAGCGTATCATCGCGATTTGGCAGCCCCTACAGATCAGCCCGCTGTGTGCCGTCCTCGTCGCGAGGTCGAGATAGGGGAGGGGCGTGGCCGCCATGAACCGCGCGCTCGTGTAGAACGTCGACTTGCTGACGCCCCGCCGCGACGGACGGCTGAACGTCTCGCGGGCCTTCTGGCCGCCCGTCCCGATCCACGCGTCGTACGCGTCGTTGCCGCCGTGGTGCGCGATCGCCGCCTGCACGACGCGGCGCTGGCTGTAGAGGCGGAAGCGCCGCCCGTTGTACAGATCGACCATGCCGTACGTACCCGGCAGCGAGAGCATGCTAGGGACGCCCGACAGCGCCTTCTTGGTCACGCCGAAGAGCATCTTCGCGTCGCTCTCGATGAGTGGCATGAGGTGCGGGCTCTCGTTAAGGCAGTTGAAGCAGCAGCGGACGCACTCGGGGACCCAGAGGTAGGTGCCGAAGTCATTGCAAAACGCACAGGTGCGCGCGCAGAGCGTGCTGTAGAGCTGGGCGACGGTGAAGTGCTGGGAGGCGTCTGCAGAGTTGAGCGAGGCAAGCGTGTTTGGGATGTGGCGCACGAGGAACTTGTACGGGACAGACTCGTCGACGATGAGGCGTGTTCGCCGGTTGACCAGACGCAAAGAGGAGATAGACAGGAGGTCTGTGTATTGCACGATAAGACTAAGGAGCTCAAGGGGGAATTTGCCCAGTTCGCCTATGGATGCTACAGGAGCCGGATGTAGCTCGGCGGGTGTGGCTTCGTCGTCGCCAGTGCCAGTGGCGGGACGCCGCGGCTTGTCGGCCGCACGAACATAGAGGACAGTCTCGTCGAACTCGTCGGGGTGGTAGCCGAACCAGTTGAGTGCGAGAGTGCGAGAGGATGGGTGGGCGATGTCAGGTATGTTCCCTCCGCCTGGCGCCGTCGAGGACGAGGCAGAGGACATGGGTGCTTGTGGCAGAGTACTGCTGGCGCCCGCCACCGGATACAGCAGGTGGAATGCATTCCAGCACGGCGCTAACAAACGCGAGTGGCGCCGGCGCGGGCGCCGGCTGTGTACCTTGCGACTTATGAATGTTTGTGGTACAGTATGTAGTGTGCTTATGATAGAATAACGGCGGTTTGCACGACTACACTAAACTTCAAGGAGAAACATAAGAACACGGCACGAAAGTGGGTCAGATGTGAGTTGGCTCGTTGAGATGCACGGGTAAGCAGAGTTGTTCTCGTTGTACAACTTGTAGTCTCAGTGAACCCTTCTATTACGGGACACCAGACTATTCAAATATCGTGACGGGAGTTTGATATCCACGTACTCCAAGGTGCTCAGACGAGTACCTACTACAGGCCCGGGAGGACGAACATCTTGAACAGTTACGCGTGCGTCGAGCACAAACCACGCTGCCTTCACCGTGTTTGGGCTTAGTGTGTGCTCGTCTTCATCAGTGTGATGTTCATGAGTTCCAGGGGCAGGCAGGGCCTGTGTGACAGTCATGATGACATTGTGGATGAGTCCCACAGAGTGCGAGCGCGGGGTACTGCTGCGAGCACGGCTTGCGCGAGACAATTGATATTCATGTCGCGAACATGACAAAATCACCCCGGAGGTCTGGGTGTTGGGTGATGCGGCGTCAGTCGATGATGAGCTGTGCTGTGAGATTAAGACTGGCTATGACACACCGCTGAGTGAATGACCTGCGTTGGCGAGAAGCGAGGCTGATTTCACGCACCACCCCCTAGTGTACAACGTGTACTGTAGAGCAACAGCACCATCATTGATTATGTGAATATGATAGTAAGAGTAGTCAATGATCGAATAGTGGGGAGAAGAAGGAATACGGCGGCCTGCACTGGGGTACTGCATGTCAGCTCGAAAAGCTTGCCAGCAATCGTGTTCAGGGACTTCAGGCGAGACAAGACAACCTTATTGAGAGTGATGCCTGCCCGCCAGCTGCATCACATTTTGCTCGCTCTGACTCTGATCTGCTCAAGAGATTGGCGAGGAAGAGAAGCTGCTCATCGACATGCTGCCTGGGACAGTGTACAATGACGGCACGGGTGCAGGTATGGTGAAGGCGGCGGGTAGTTGGTACTATGCAAATTGGAGGCACTGCTACGGGACCATGTCGGCGGCTGGTACGAACTGCATAGACAATCACATTATGGCTGCGACTGCGTGAACTGTGAATGGTAGACATACTCATGCTGTGTAGAAAAGTTGAATTGCTGTTGCTGCGACAACATGCGCATCTTTGGAGATCGACAACATATTCGGTGGTGTCACGTTCGAGTAGCGACACCACGGGAGCCTCAGATCTTCAGACGTCGCGGGCGATCGGAAGTCGTGTTCATCAGTGTTTGTTGAGGATACGATTGCTGACTGTACTCTTGGTTCATTGTGAGTCCGGCTCACCAGCATCAATGAGACAAAATGCCTCGCCGGTCATCGGCCAGATTCCCCTCCTCGCCATCCTACTCGCTATCCGGAGTGCTGGCAGAAGTATCATTCAGGAGGTCATTGAAGCGCGGTTATGGCCCATTCGGCGCGAGAAATCATAGTGGAGAGTCTAGTCCATTGGATTTTCGCTGGCATGGATGTCGACGAGAACGATGCACAGCGAAGGCTCATGCACATGGCGCAGTAGGTTGAGTTCGGTGTGCGGAGGGCGACAGCTAAGCGCCGTCTGGCCGGATTTGGAGATGGGACAAACAAGGCCAACAAAAGCGGAAATTTCTCACGACGAATTCAGACCCCCGAAGAGACCTTGCAGTCGCAAGGTAACTTGTCCTCAACCTGCTTGGCTGCAACTAGCGTACTCGCATCCCGTCAGGCGTCAGCTCACTGACCGCCTGGGCGAGAAATGGCATGTATGTACAATCTTCATACCACACCGGTACCTGAAACCTCTATTAGGCCTGGGCTCCTTTAATTCTACATTGTCCCCACCGCGGTGGAACGCTCGTGGCCGCTCAATCTTAGTGAGTTCGTGGTGCACTTCCTTTCTCTAATGAAGATGCACAGCTTGCCTGGGAGCGGGTACAGCCCGCGGAGGACGTCCATGGGAGGGGGCGTATTAGTATATACTTCGGTCCTCAGGCGAGTGCATGGCCACAACTCAATTCAGACGTGATGTGCAAAGTCCAGCGAGTCTCGCAACGTGAGCTTGTGGACTTTGACCGACTCATACGGTAAGGTCTGGCGTAAACTCCCCTGCAGCAAGCATTGAGTCGTGCGCTACCGCGCGACAGCCTCCGTTTCCTTCAGTAAGCTAACGCCTTCGCCGGTCGGATACAGACTTGCTGGCGCGCGCCCAGCATCGCGTTGCCGGCATCGACCCCGGTTCATGACCTCGGAGTCATATTCATTGACTACCTGTAGCGCGACTCGGGCGTTTGGTGGGCGTCCTGAACGACTTCGAAGACCTACCGGACATTGATGTCGGGCGCGCTTGGAAGGTTTGACATACAGTTTCACTTGTCTAATACAATGCCGCTGTGCGCTCATCGGGCTCCTACAGAGAAAACGTTCAGCAAAGACTCGTGCTTCTGCTACCGCGCTTCGTTCCGCGACAAGAGGATGCGAGGCTTCGGGACCTGAAGCTCTCTTGTGAACGAGCAATCACACATGCAAGCGAGGACCTATGGCAACACCAACTTGAAGGCGCCGCGGTGCTCGCGGGATGGCGATCTGCCTTCGCTGCACGTCTGCGTCAGTAAGACATGTCCATGACCACCGCTGTTGCGGTACTACTGAAAATTTGGAATGTATGTATAGTATTCGATGAATCTGCGCTGTCTGTGCAAATACTGGACTGGGTGGCCGAAGGTTCTAGTGGGATTGAATTGGAGGTTTTACGATCACAGGACGGCCGATTGCCACATTGGCCGTCCTCTAGCTGTGCGTGAATGCTGTGCGCGAATGCATTATCTCCTTGGAAGTACATGCGAGGGTACCCGCTGGCTGGCGGACCACCCCGTGCGGTTGGTCGTGGGTAGCCCTCCAACAAGAAGGGAAGACGTCAAGTTCTGTTCATACTATGGTTCGTACTCTCAGCTGTGGTTCACGTTCTCTCATGGCTGACAGAAGCTCCTACAGCACGGATAGCCCATGCTCATCTGCTCTAGTTAAGCTCCAGTACTAAACGCAGCGCCGGTCGGGGCCAGGTCCAAGCTCCGCCACTACTCTCCTCCGTGTATTAGCGTCCAGGTGGGCCATTGCAACTGATACCATTCGAGATGGGGGTTAGATGCTCACTACAAAAAGGCCTGTGCACTGCATGGGATGCGGTTCACGGTTTATATATGTAGGCCTATGTAGGCAGGAGGTCGGGGCCGGGGGCCGCGTTGCGCGGTCATGTGCACGGATGGTGTCCAAGGGAAGCACAGCGCTACGCGTCGCAACGCGTCTAAGTACCAATCAGAATGCTTATCTACATATGTGAAGCGTTTATGTCGCGGTGGGGACCGCGTTCTAGTTTAAGATTCATATCATGTTGCAGGGCGCATATAAACTAGGTGCGGACTCATCACAAAACCGCAGATACTCGTCCGCTGGGTACGTGCTGCAGAAATGCTAACTTCTCCAGGTGCTATCGACTTCCTCGCGATTGTGATACTCTGCTATGTCCTCAGACGAGTCTTAGCCAGTGGATGCCGAGTTCCGATGCCCCCAGGTCCAGCTGGTTGGCCAGTCATCGGGAATATTCTTGACATGCCCTCCAGTCATGAGTGGCGGACTTTTGCCCAATGGGGAGAGACATGGGGTGCGTTGAATACCACATCCCTACGCATGCATTCTGTAACTCGGTACACATCGGACTAGGTGACATCATCTCAGTCAACTTGCTCGGGAAGCCTCTCGTGATTCTCAACTCATCCCACGTCGCCGATGAGATGCTCGACAAGAAAAGCCTCATCTACTCGGGCCGGCCGGTGTTCCCCGTTTGTGGTGAAGTGATTGGATGGAATCGCATACTTGCGTTCCACCAATACGGTCCCCGCTGGCGGGAGATCCGCCGACTCTTTTCGCAGACTGTAGGGTCACACAACAGTCTGGCTCAACTGACCGACGACCTGGAACGCGAGGCTGACGGGTTTCTGGGTCGCGTGATGGCAAATCCGACAACTCTGACGCAGCAGGTGCATAGGTAACGCATATGCGATGCCAACGGGCGATGTATCAGTCGACTGACGAACTCTCGAAGATTCACCGGAGCATCAATCTTGAAGGTTACGTACGGGTATACCATTGAGAAGGAGAACGACGAGCTCCTCAGAATCGTCGATACCGCTATGGAGCAGTTTTCCCTGGCGTCTGCTCCAGGAGCATATCTTGCTGACGCGTTCTCGATTCGTCTGTATCATCTCTTTACTTCGAACACTCAGTGACTGACAGTGATGTAATTCTTAGTCACGCATGTTCCCCCATGGTTCCCCGGGGCTGGGTGGAAGACGACAGCCCAAGCCTGGCGCAAAGATCTTGAGAAGATGTGTGATATTCCATACAACTTCACCAAGGCGCAGATGGTACTGCTGTTCTGTTGTGTTTGCTTCAATGCTTGCTGATAATCGCTTGTCTAGCGAGCTGGAACGGCATCCTCAAGTCTTGTGGCCATAAATTTGGAAGGTGATATTGACCCTCAGCGGGAGGCGATCATCAAGGATGCGGCTTCATCTCTGTATGCTGGTGAGAAATCCGCTCTCTGCGGTTCCGACGTTACTGAGATGATTTCAACGTCAGGCGGGGCAGATACCGTGCGTCTTCGATCACAAAATGCATACTGACACTTGCTAACGACTCTATGGATAGAGTGTCTCCGCCATTCGCTCGTTCTTCCTGGCCATGATGCGCTTTCCGGAAGCGCAGAGGAAGGCTCAGGCTGAAATCGATCGAGTCATAGGATCGGACAGACTTCCTACAGTTGCGGATCGCGAACAGCTGCCTTACGTGAGGGCGTTGTGCTGGGAGGTGCTACGATGGCAGCCCATCGCTCCGCTAGGTGGGTCTACATCGGTGAGGCGTATCATGATCTCCATAATAATATACGACGTGCGCTAGGTATACCTCACTACCTCACCCAAGATGATGTGCACGCGGGCTATTTCCTGCCCAAAGGCACAGTAGTGATAGCTAATATCTGGTAAGTAGTGTCATTGAAGCTCGCGCATGATGTTCATATGCTTCTTACTTCAAGGAAAATGCTCCGCGACCCCAAACGCTACGCCCGTCCTCAAGACTTCAATCCTGACAGGTTCGTCCCTGGCCAGGGCGCGGAGCCGGAATACGACCCTCGCCAGGTTGTTTTTGGCTTCGGAAGACGGTGAGATGCAATTGCGATCTTACGTAGAGTTTACTCTTACGTGGGCCACGATCAGTGTATGTCCAGGTCTGTATAATCTGATTAACGAGAATGGTCCATTCTAACACATGAACTACAAGGCTCGCAGCTGGCTGAGATGTCTTTATTCCTGATCTGCGCCGTATCTCTCGCTGCCTTCGATATCTCCAAACCCATTGTAGACGGTAAGGCTGTCGAACCTTCGATGGAATATACGACGGGTACCATCAGGTGTGCCGTCCGCTATTCATTGGTGTCGGAATGCTCATCTTTAGTCAAGCCATCCATGCGAGTTTCAATGTTCCATCAAGCCCCGGTCGGCTAAGGTTCAAGCTCTACTGTCGTCGTCGGGTGATGTTCGTTACTGAGGTGTTATCCGTCGATCCACGATTCTTCGAACAGCATATCTGCTCCTCGCGGGAAGTTTGGTGTATCAAGGATCAACGTTGCATACTTGGTTGGCTCAACTCATCTGACAGATATATCACGCTACGTGCTCACGATTTGGGACGCCTGCATAGAGCCTCGGTGTCTATGACGTTGTACCGGACGGGCATGATATGAAGACGAGTGTTGCTCTTAAGTTGTGGTGGCACCTCTACACTTCAGTCGCAGGATCTCCGGGTTACGAACACATGTGCTACTTGCCAGGCGTCTCACCGCAGCATCATAGGATATCAACCCCAAGGACAATGAGCCGCCGTTTCGCGCGACAATACGGGCGCTGCTTCGAGTTCTCGTCGGGTAAACGGCCGTGTCCGCGCATGTAATAAGAATGCGCGATAAAGTTCCAAACTGTATTGGCGGTGCAGGTACGCATACATTGTATTCCCTTCGACCTTAGCACAAATTTCCCACAGCCTGCTCCGGATATCGGACTAAGAGAAGCATCATCTATACATCGCTCGACTTCTGAGGGTCCCAGCAGTGTCCCAGCGTACGTTTGGAGTGAGTCCGATGTACCTGTCCTTTGGCATAACCGCACACCCGGTCGGACAGTAGCACGGACTTGTCGTCCGGACTCCGATGTGTCATGTACCCTGGCGTCCAACCAGCGCAACGGCGGCTTGAGGAATCCCGTCCTTCGCCCAGCGTGTTGTACATTCTGGCCGTGGTCATGATCCCGCGCGCTCATGCTCCCGGGGCTTCCAGCTGCAACATGTCAGTACACGGCATTTCTGAGGACAGGTACGTGAGGGCCTCTCGTACTCATGGGAGTCACGTATGACATGTATGAATATGATTTGGCATTTGAAGCCTCGAACTTGCCTCGAACTCAACGGGTGCAGTCGGTCTTCTCATGCATCGGAATTGACATCGTATTAACGTAGCGCAGGTCGGACATTGCTGGGCTGGGTGCTAGACAACATGTGCCACAAGTTCCAAATCCCCCTCGGATCCAGGTTTGCACATTACCGCATGCTGGAGGGACCTTTACGTTTCCTATCCCCGGTACGTGGTTTCAGACGCTTGAGAAGAGACAATGCCGTGCCCTAAACCTTACTTTCTTCCACTGACAGGCCGACAAAGCACGGCAGCTGCCTTCAACATTGAGTTCATTCTCATGTTCGCATTGAAGCTCGCACAGCTTCTAAGCCAACCTTGAGACCCGGAGGTCCAAGGAACAGCGATGTTGCCAGTATCAAATCGCCCTCAAGGTCTAGCCACCGCGCTATTACTATTTCGGCATCCCACACTAATCATATTTGCTCTAGCATACCGAGCGGCTTGGAGTTCTATGCCGATTCACAGGTATATGCTACCTCTTGGATGGGACGTAATGTGATGTGGCTCATCTTCGGCTGACCGATGCCGCCACTCCTTCCACGAATAAATGTACGTGCAAGTCATGCTGAACTTTCCAACACTCGCCCTCCCTAGTAGGACGTACTGCAGCAATGCCGACCTCCTTAGTTTTCGTCGATTTCCTCGCCCTCGGTTTGCTTCTCTACACCGCGAGACGTGCGTTAACCGGTGGCCACCGAGGTCATTTACCACCAGGTCCAGCTGGATGGCCTGTCATCGGTAATATCCTGGACATGCCATCTAGCTACGAGTGGAAGACCTTCGCCCGCTGGGGAGAGAGATGGGGTAGGTGGAAACATACATCTGTATTCACTACTCATGCTGATCCATATCTGTGGCACTAGGTGACATGATGTCTGTCAATCTCTTCGGCAAACACATGATAATCCTCGATTCATTCGAAGTTGCCAACGATCTACTCGACAAGAAGAGTTCGATTTATTCGGACAGACCGGTATTACACGTTTCCGGCGAGATGATCGGATGGAAGCGCATTCTTGTGCTCATGCAGTATGGTCCTCGCGTACGCGAGGTACGTCGGCTCTTTTCGCGGACCCTGGGAACACACAGTAGGCTCGCGGAGTTGTCCGGTGATCTGGAAAAGGAGGCACACGGGTTTCTGCGTCGCGTCGCGGAGAACCCTTCGTCATTGACAAAGCAGGTGCAGAGGTAAGACGCGGTTCAACAATTGCTTTTTTCCGAGTCGCTCTGAGTGCCATGTTTTATGTCTTCTCACTAGATTCGCGGGATCGTCCATCTTGAAGATTATCTATGGATACACCGTTGAGAAGGAGAATGATGAATATCTCCGAATTGTTGATACAGCGATGGACGAATTCTCTGTGGCGACGGCACCGGGAGCATACCTAGCTGATATATTTCCTATCCGTAAGTACCGTCAGCGGACTTCCATCTGTTCTGCGTCATCAAGACACCCACTACTACTAGTCACGCACATTCCTGCATGGTTTCCTGGAGCGCAATGGAAGAGGACAGCACAAGTTTGGCGGAAAGACCTCGACATGATGCGCAATATTCCATTTGAGTTCACTAAGGCGCAGATGGTATTGTCCCAAGTGCTCTGATTGACCTTAACCCGTTCAAGTCGTGCTCATGGGCCGTGTTTTTCTAGGGTGCGGGAACGGCAGTCACAAGCATGGTGGCTTCGAGTTTAGGCGGCGATGCTGATCCTCAGCGAGAGTCAATCGTCAAAGACGCTGCGTCGTCCATGTACGCAGGTGAGCACTGCGCTCATCTGTCTACTTGCGCTCGAGTCGACGTAACCTTGACAGGCGCAGCTGATACTGTTCGTCTCAGGCCCTGGCCTCTCGCTAACACCGACTCATTGCTTTACGGATAGACTGTCTCTACAATGCGCTCATTCTTCCTAGCTATGATGTGTCATTCGGACGTGCAGAAGAAGGCTCAAGCCGAGATTGACCGCGTCGTAGGGTCAAACAGGCTCCCAGTAATCGCAGATCGAGACAACCTGCCTTACACAAAGGCCTTGTGCTGGGAGATCTTGCGGTGGCGACCTATCGGTCCTTTGGGTGAGAATTCTTGGATTCGCTCGCATGTTTCTTACCGTTCACCCACGATATGCGATAGGGATACCTCATCGCCTGGCCCAGGATGACACGCATGCCGGCTATTTCCTCCCAAAAGGAAGTGTTGTGATAGCCAATATCTGGTACGAACGGCAGTGGCCGGGTGTGGTCGATGCTACATTCGATGGCTCATGTGTCCTTCAGGAAAATGCTTCGTGATCCACGGCATTACTCAAATCCTGAGCAATTCAATCCGGACAGGTTTCTTCCGCGAGAAGGGTCGGAGCCTGAACGCGACCCTCGCCACATCGTGTTCGGGTTTGGAAGACGGTGAGATATCATCTTAAACCAGCGTCGAACTTACCAGTCATATATGTGTGTTTCATAGCGTATGCCCAGGTCAACATTATGCTGTATCGCATGAGTGGTTTCTGAGACACACTTCCAGGTTCACAGCTCGCTGAGACGAGTTTGTTCTTGATCTGTGCCACGTCCCTCGCCGCGTTCGAAATCTCCAAACCTGTCATAGATGGCAAGGTTATTGAACCTTCGATGGAGTATACCACTGGAACCATCACGTACGTTCACTGTTGAGTCTTGACTCGGGATAAAGACAACAGCACTCATCTGTTCTAATGCTAGCCATCCGCAAGAGTTCCAATGCGCCATCAAGCCACGATCCTCCAAGGCGGAGGCTCTACTGTCTGCGTATGAGCGTGGTGATTGAACATGTTTGATGCGATGCCGAAGTGTAAGTGTTCGTCGGAGTCGAACACTGGGTTTCTCTTGGTATCAATGATAATTGATAAGTACAGTATCTCTCGAGCGTAGTGACTAAATGGAATCTCCTCTTCCTCTCGCGGTTGTTCTTCAAGTTGTACTAGTACAGTACTTACGCTCTGTTAAGCGTTGTTCGGAATCAATTTCCTTTGACGATACTCAGCATAAATCCTCTGAGGCTATGTGCGAGGAGCAGATATATATATTGGAATAGAGAGAAGTCGAAGACAACGAGTGGACGCAAGTACTGCCAGAGGCTGCCAGGCTGGCGACCTAAGTACAGATGCGCTCAGCGTCTGGCTCAGGCTCGGAGCAAGATGAGATCGGGGAGCAGAACGGCAGCCGGGCCGGGACGATCTGTCCACCGATCACGCCGTCCACTGCGACTTGCTTACTCTCATGTATGCAGCGGCATTCTGGCGGACACTCTTACCCCGCTCTCTCTTTACGCTGACATCCCTGAGCGCCGCGAACATGGAAAATGGCAGTCCGAGCATCTCCGCAGACGACGCCGCGAAACTGCGTCGGCATCCGAAGTACTGGCTCGAAGACGGCTCGCTCGTCGTGCGCACTCAGGGCGATCTCTTCAAGGTCCATAGAACGCTCCTTCAACGACACTCTCCCGTAGTATCGTCTCTCGCAGAAAACGCGTCGCGAGATGAGGCCGCGCGCACGGATGGCTGCCCGACGCTGCACGTACCGGACGAGCTGGGTGTGGAGAGTGCCGACTTCGAGACATTGCTCGAGCACCTGTACCATGATGTGTGCGTCTCCGTGGCTATTCTACCTGTTGATAAGCTTTTGAATATTCCAAGCCCATTAGGACGTGACGCGCCGTTCCCTCGAACTGCTTCGATACTGCGAGCGTCGTCGAAGCGCCAGCTCGACTTTCCTCTACTGCACCAGCTCGCACGTCAGAGACTAGAGAGCATGGTGCCATCTGATCCAACCGCTTTCTACGAAGTGCAGCAACCGGATCACATGCTCACGCTTGCCGTCGATTACGATGTCTATACGGTCAGTGTGCACTCCATGATATGCATTTTCGCGAACCTCATGCCTGCCGCAGATACAGAAGGCCCTCTTCTACACGATCGCTACGCATGCGAACCTCCAACATGACGAACCTGAAGGCCTCGCACCCGGGGTCAGTGTCCCGCAGGACGCACAGCCCGTAGACTCAGCCCTCGCCAACCAATTCACCCTTTCTCCCGAGCTCACAAAACGATGTCAAAGACTCCTAGATGACCTCGTCGCGCACTTCACACCGATCCTGTTCACCGTCGCGACCGCAGGACACATGGCGTGCACGGACGTCTTTGCGGAGCAATGGATGCCGCTCGTCATCCAGCCTGCGCTGGAGAACAGCGGATTGTGTCGGCCGATCGAGACGCTGCAGACGATCATTGACCTGGACTGGAAGGCGCAGGGTCTCTGTGATGAGTGCGTGTCGGAGAAGAGGGAGGAGTGGCGGGATGAGCAGAGGGCGGTTTGGGAGAAGT